TATTATTTTATTTCAATTATTAAACTGCTGTTATCTGAACCCATGAGTTTTCTCGCTTTTACCCTTGATTCTCTCCCCCATCCCACCAGGGGGGAGCGAGCGAGTGGCTGCGTGGGGCGGAGTTGCCAACTGGGGTTAAACCACGACACCATCAGATAAAACTCTGGACACAAGTCCAGAACCCCACAAGGACAGGAGATCTTCCAGAAACTGGACCAGTCCCAGCACCTGTAGAAACTGGACCATCCTCAGATGGGACTGGGAGACTTCTGACTACCTGGATGGGCACAGACTAGCCAAAACCCACCCCAGATGAAAGGCGAACCAAAAGGAGCGTGGTCCTTGCTCATGTCCAGGCAGCGAACATTGAAACGGTTCATCCAGGGCTCCACACGTCTGTGGCAGAGCTGAGAAGCCGCCCTGGTCTCCTGAGTCCCAGCCGAGATGGTCTCAACAGCCAAGGGCTCGCTGACAGTCGTACTGGCACTGCGCCAAGCAAACCCTGAACCACACAACCTCACAGAGGGCTGGGAACCATGGCTTACCTCTGGAAGAAACCCTCAGGTATTTCGGGTGAGAAGTAGGCACGGATGTGGAGGTCCTCAGGGTGATCTCCTCCCCATACTTCAGAGACCTCTTCGGTCTGGTTCAGATAGGTTGGGAACAAGTACCAGGACTCGCCTTGGCCCCGCGTTGTCTCCCATGGCTTCCCGGGCACAAACTCACTGGCCTGTGGGTTGAGCGTTTCGGCGTGCCTCACCTCCAGGCAGAGCTCAAAGTGCTCCAGGAGGCTGAAGAGCATCCCTCGCCCTCTGCAGGGCCTGTGTCCCATGATTTCCTCAAAGACATCCCGCATCCCTTCCAAACGGAGCTGGTGCTTCACCAGGGCACGCACAGCCCGGTGGGACAGCATTGCCTTTGACTTGAAGGTCCACACCCAGTTGGACCTGTCTCTGATGGTGGCATGTTCCCCAATCAGTGTGTCCAGAGAGATGCTCTCGAGTTGCTGGACTAGGTGGTACCTCACAAGGAGCTGGGTGGGAAGAGAAGGAGAGACGAGGCCGCAATGAGAGGAGACCAGCAAAGCTGCAGAGCTTGGGTCCTGTAGAGAAGCCCGTCCTGAACCCACACTCACCTTGAACATAGTTATTAGGAAGGTAGGCTGGAGAAAAACAGTGCTTTCCAGCTGCTTGATTTCCTCGTACCACACAACAAGCCCGACGCGGTGGAGGTAGCGCAAGATGTCCTGGAGAAACTCTCTGCCCAGGTTGGCCAGGTGCTTGCGCTGGGACAGTTTGCTGAGCAGGTACTGGAGGTCCATCATGCCTAGAAGGAGACACGGGAGCTCAGTGCGCACGTTTCGGACACCAGCATTCCAAGGCAGATGCTTTAGAAAGCCAACAAACACCAGCAACACCCAACATCACCCATGCCATCCCTGGGGAAGCAGCTGGGACCAGCGCGATGCTCGGTGGCTGTGGCCCAAAATGCTTTGCCCATCCTCAGCTGTCCCACTGCCACCCTGCAGCTCCCATGGTCTTGCCTTGCCTCAGCGGTGCCGACAGCCTGCCAGGACCTCAACGGAGCATCTGAAAAATGAGGCTAATACTGGGGTGTTTTTTGCATTGTTTGAGAGAGAAGGTTTGTTTCCAGCCAGAAAACCTCAGATTGCCGGTTAAACCTCAGACTGTCATTTAGTCGTGCAGCAAGACAGGCAACAAAACCTGGCTTATCTCCACAAAAGAAAAGCATTTGCTCCTCATCCTCTAATCCTACAGTGACCAGGGGAGCCAGAGATGACACTGGGTGCAGTTGGTGTTCATACCTGCTTCAGGTTCATACATGAGGAGCCGGGGCTACCTGCTAGACCTGCCAAGTCACAGGAGACACGGAGAAGGGGTTAGGGAGGGGTAGGGGCCATTAAATAAAGTTAGCAGGATGTCAGCCGGGAAACCACATGGAAGCATCAAAGCTGTGGAGTTCCTTCCTGCAAGATTTTAAAAAATTGTTTGTACAGGGCAAAGGGGAGAAAGAACAGCGCTACTGGAAAGAACCAAACCAGGCAAAGTGGCCAGCTCAGGGTACCTACAGCCACAGGTTGGTAGATGTTGGCAGAGCCTCCTGGTGAAGACACACTTGGCCTTTTCCTGTGCTTTTCCCTAGGCACCTGCCTGGGGGGCAGATGCTCGTAATGACAGAGCTGGGTAGCAGCATTTAATGCTCCAGCAATAACACTGCAAGGTCTTCAGCAGCAACCTCCACCTCCACGTGAGCGGGGTCAGAAGTTGCAGCAAGCACCGGAGAGCCCGTCCCAGCCACGGGACACCAGGTCCTCCCAGGAAGGTGTGGCGGGGGTGATGGACCACTCACCATGGTCTGCCATCTCCTCACTCTGTGCAATATCTACGATGGCAGCTTCCACCTGCCTATAGACGGGTGGCAGGACTCGGACGACCTCGGGGAAGAGCTCCTCGTTCTTCACATGCTCCAGAATAGTGGCTTCAAGCTTTTTGATGTCATGGTGATCCGTGCAGTTGACAGCAACCAAGTTTAAGATCTGGAAGAGAGAAAGCACACACCTGCCAAAAGTACATCCAGAGGAGTCTTTTAGCCTGCTAGGTAAAGGAGGGACCTAATGCCAAGGAGGTCACCAAGGATGGGACATGCCACGGACTCAGTTTCGGAGCGTGCATCCTTCACACCTTTGCTCTGCAGCAGTTCCTGAAAAATCACCTGGGGATGGTAAATGCCCCCTCACACTCCTCCCCAGGCACTTGCTACAAGCCACAGGAGGAGATGCCCATCGCCAAGCAGGGACAAGGACCCAGCAGGTCACAGCCAGGGGTTACCACGTCCACCCCAGCCCCGGGGAGCGGCTGCAGTAGCAGCCTGATGCATTAGCACCAGGTCACCGTCACCAGTAGCACACTGGGCTGCCAGAGATGAGGTGACCACAGACAGCAAGGAACCACCATAATCTCAGCCCTACCGTTAACGTGCAGTTCTCCATCTCTTTCAGCCTCTCCCACTGGTCCACATAAAACATGGGCTCCTCGCTGCCCTCCAGGTTGTTGATGAAGTGAGTGAGGTTGCTTTTTCTCTCCGCCAGCATCATCGTGATCTTGGCCATGATGTCACGCCTCTTCTCCTCCACCTCCTCCTCCCGGCAGCAGTCCACATGTGTTCCCACAGGAAGCACCACCGAATTTGGGACTCGCATGGACAGGTTGTTGATCCAGAAACCGACGAGCTCCTTGAAAGTCTTGTCGTTGGTTTGGTACCTGGGGAGGGAGAGAAAGAAAATCCCAAATTCATGTCTCACCCTCCAGATCTCCAGCAAACTTCCACCAGCACAGGGCTGACCATGCACCCTGTTCTGTCCCAGGGGCTTACTGGAGAAGAGCTCAGCTTTCCTAAGCTGTCATGGGCCGTATCTGAGCTTATCCTTAAGTTCCCCATCCTTAAGCTAAGCTAGTTAAAGCTATGGGGTGCACCTGAGTCCGTCCCTGCTGTGGATGGGAGCATCCCTCTGTACCACAGAGCCCAAGCCTGATGCTCCCTCTAATTTCAGGGAGCACCACAAGATAAAGGAGGGCTCGTAGAGGTATTTCCAAGGCACAAAGCAAAGCCGTTTAGATGGGGATCAATTGTCACATAAGGAGTTAATGCTCATCTGACGCCTCAAAACAGAGGACTTTGGTAAGTTGATGACAGATCACCTTAATGAAAAGAATGCTCTGCAAAAAGAGGGAGAGGGAGAGCTAGCTGCTCCAGAGGTGAGAAGACCAGGCATCAAGGTCCAATGGAAATGGTGTGAACCCACGCAGGGAAAAGCTTCCCCAGTCCCTTTTTTCTTCTCCCACTCCACTTTGGATGCAAACCAGCCCAGCACTTACATGTGGAGATTGATGACAAGGATGACAAGTGCCTGTGGGGTGATGAACACGTGGTGAGTCATGTAGTACTCCAGCTGGCCGGCAAAGTCCCAGAAGAGAAATGTGAAGTCCTCAATCTGGAACTCGCTGATCTCTATCCCAACCGTTCGCTCTTCCTTGGGCACCAGTTTGGTTTGCCCTTGCTTCAGGCTTTTGCAGATGGTGGACTTCCCCGCCAGCGAGGCCCCCAGGAACATGGTCTTGACCCTCTTGTCCTCTTGCCCTGAACCGTGTTGAAGCTGGCTGAAGTAATTTCGGATCTGCTGGATGCCACCAGCGCACACCTCACTGGGTGGCTCCCGGAGGGGGTTCCCATTGGCCTTGAGCATTTTCAGGGATTGCCCCTGGAAGAGCTCCTTGGGAAGCTGGCGAAGGGTGTTATTCTGCACATGGAGCTCCTGTAAGTGTGCCAGCTGCAGGACAGGCTGGGGGAAGGTCCGGAACAGGTTGTTGGAGATGTTGAGGTACTGGAGGCTGCCTTGACAAGCTGCCAGGTCCCTGGGGAGGGCAGTGAGACGGTTGTTGTTCAGCCGCAGGTGTTTAAGCCTGGGGAGATGGGAGAAAACCCCCTCTGGGATGACCCGGATTTGGTTCTGATTCAGCTCAAGCTTCTCTAAACAGACCAAGCTCTGAATTTCATTGGGAAAGTTCACAATCTCATTCTTGGACAGTATCAGCTTCTTCAGGTTGCAAAGCTTAGAAATGCCAGCGATGCTTCTGAGCTTGTTCCTGTCAAGGTCAAGGCTCTCCAGCGTGGGGTTGCTCAGGACCTCTGGAGGTAGGACACGCAGCCTCTGCGTAGAGAGAGTCACCTCACGCAAGCCATCCTCCGGCTCCTGACCTGGACGCATGGGACAGGGAAGGTGGTTGAGAGAGACTTTCACCCTTTGGATTGCAAACCATTTTTTCCCTTGAGCTCCGCACAACTTTGGGATCATTTGTCAGCAAGGAAAAGCAGAAGTAAAACAGGAGTTTTTGGTTGAACAGCATGACCATGGCTGCTGCTTGAGCAGCTCCTGTGTCCTTTCAAGAAAGGAACCAAAGCCAAGGCACAAGGATTTTGGCGGGGTCTGAAGACACAGGAAGAAACGGTGCCCACCAGACATTGACCTGTAGCCTAAGCATCACGTTAACAGCTCTCATTAAAGCACTGTGAGAGCTCCAGTCTGCAACTGGCAGGTTTCTAATCCCAGCAGTGAGCTGGCAGGGCAGAGCTGACGTCGGGAGGAGAACTGCTCTCCAAATAACTCGCCTACCCCACCATCAGCTCTCGACCACAGTTAGGGAGATGCGTTGAGGCCAGGGCTAGCGAGTTCAGACACTTCCTCTCTCACATCCTCCTCCTGGTTCCAGATGCACGCTGCAATTCCCTGCAGAGATGCTCCCAGCCCCAGGAGACCGGGGGAAATAACGCAGGGACAGTGGGGGTCTCCGGCAGGACAGGACGCACAAGAAGGGACTCAGTGGCGGCCGAGAACATCCCCAACAGGAGGGTGTTTAGAGCAGAGAGGTCTGCAGGCGAGAAGAGGACCAGGGGGATGCGGGATGGGGATTACACAGTACTAGAACAAAACATGGTCAGATTTGCTTTCCTCTCCCTTGTTTCACTTCCTCACCAGGCGACTGCAAGCACGGCATCTCCTTGCGCAAGGCAGCCTGCTCAGGACCAACTCCTTGTCAGTTCTCAGCACCACCACCTAAACCTGGGACATGCAAGGAACCCAGCAGGAAAGCAAGCTCTCACCCTCTCCCAAACGCCCGGTCTCTCCTCCAGCGCCATCAGAGAGAGAAGCCAAAGGGCTCGCACCTCCGCTCTGAACACAGAGCAGCGAAGAGCCGGGGCAGCTACTCACAGGCTCTGGGCTGGGTCATGGCCCTGCAGCGTGGCACCGGCTGAATCCTCCAGATCCCTCGGCCTCCCTCTTTCGTTTCCTCCTCTCGTTTCGCTGCCCGCCTCCCCGAGCTCTGCCCGCGAACCCCACCCTCTCTTTCTCCATCCATCCTCAGAACAGTTCCCAACCACCCAAGCGCCTCTGGCCAGACACCGGGGCCATGGGTACATCCCAAAAGCAGCTCTGGAGGTCACCTATGAGACAAAGACAATGGCAGAGTAGCTCTGGAGACAGCTTCTTAGGGCAGCATCCCTGCCTCCGCGAAAGGAGCTTTTGGTGTTACCACTGTTGCAGAGGAGAGAAAGGATGCTAACGAGAGGTTATGCTACTACCAAACTACTGCACGTGTTGAATAAATAAGATTTCTTCCCTTAAACACCTGGCAGCATCTGATCCAAGAGGGTCAAGCAGAAAGGAAAAATAAAAGTAGTAGTATACACAGTGTACTAGAAAACACATTTTCTAAAATATGCCAGAAGAGGCATTTTTAGGAATGTTTCTCATTGCCTCTCCCAAGGGGCGGCTTACAATTTGATGGATTTATTTTTAATGGTAAAGAGAATGAAAGAACCTGTATTCTTGTTCACGTCACTTGAGGGGAAAGCAGGTGCAGAAGGTACAGTTTTTAGCTTCACTGCCCCTCCAGGCAAGAGCAGGGGCAGACGTAACTGAAATTTAAGAGTCCTTATAGTACATCTACTCCTAATATATCTTGCAACAGGCTGTCATACTAATTCAAGGCTAACGCTAACCAAGAGTTTCAAGCAGTGAACAGAACAGATTGACATGGTCTTCCTGGTCAACAGTGTAGTCTCTCATGTTATTTGTTCAAGCTTTGTTTTTCACAGCACCTACGCTTTTTAACTCATGCAGGCAGGTTATTCCAGAATTGTTCCTCCGATAAATGCAAAGGCGTCCCATTTCCAGCCTAAGTGTATTCACAACTACATCACATTCTCTTGTTCTGGTGCCAACAGTGTCTTAAAAGTTTCTGAACTTTATTTTGCCAAGAAATCCATCAGCAGTGTTTGTATTTCTAACCCCACACCCATCTGCTAGGTATATATTCTAGCTACAAGGGTAGCTTTAAAATTAAAGCTTCTCTCTTTTGCAGTCTTAGCGAGCCTTTGTTCCAAAATCTTCAAAGAAATCCCAAATTTACCCGTCCCTTTTGCTCCATTCAGGCCGCACTTTCATACAGGAACCAAACAGGGCCAAGGAAGCTCAACTCCAAAACACTCAGGGCTCACCTATAAACACTTCTGTAGGATGGTGAGTGACGGGAGTGAAGCATTTTGCCAGTCTGGACAGGACTGGTATACGGGCTTGTTTTGTTTAAATAAAAATAAAAAGGTCCCCAAATCAGCTACTTGGAACCACAGCCAAAATTACAGTATACAACCAAAAAGCTTACAACTGAAATCAGAGTTCGGTCAAAAGTCAGGAATTCAAGAGATCAAAGGTCTTGCTATTTGGGAGTTTTCCTATGCTCACCAGGCAAAAAACCATTAAAAATTAAGAGCTGCAGTTATTTGCTTTATAAAACTCAGCCTAGAGACCCTAACTGTTTTCTCTTTGAAGATAAGCAGCACGACCATCTCCTCGAAGAGGGCATTTTCCAAGTGCTCTCGAAGAGGTTAGGAAAGCCCTCACCTAAGACGTGTTCCTGCCATCGGGTCCAACACACCATGTACATTCAGTTCCCATTAAAGGGAAAGCCAGTTTCTAAGTTGTAACTTTCTGGGTTTCTCTTCAGCTTCCCTGTTTAGATGTCTTCTCCCTGATGCCATTAGATGGGGAATGATGCTTTTTGTCAGGTTTAAGGGTGCTGAATATATTTTAAGGGACTGTATTTCAGATGATCACTCAAAAGATCGGTTGCTTTGCGGTACATGCAGACAAGGAGTGCTTTTAAAGAAAGCAAGATGAAATCAGTATGCGTGCTGCACTCACAGAATCACAGAATCGGTTTGGTTGGAAGAGACCTCTGGGATCATCGAGTCCAACCTTTGCCCTAACACCCCCATGTCAACTAGACCACGGCACCAACTGCCATGTCCAGTCTTAAACACCTCCAGGGATGGGGACTCCA